ATGTTTTCTGGAGGCGAAACCTTTTCGATTTCCAATTAATTCCAAATAAGACAATCGTAAGTGATTATTGAATTTATTCAGTGTATAGTCAACTAAAACATTCTACTGACTACTCACAGAAACTTCTTCATTAAGAACATATTACAAGTACAGTGCGACAGCTCGGTTTCTAAAGTATAAGCGATGGAAAATCACAACATTTTACTTGTTGGTGACTTTTTTAACTCGGTTTCAAATCGATGTTATTTTATAGAAATTGTTCATAAGATATATATCAAATCATCTAGATTTATAAATACGGTTTGAAACAGGAGAGCAGCTGATACGTTGAAGTGGAGTACTGATAATAGCTGCTATTTACGGTTCACACAATTTTCTCGCTATTGAAAATTAAAAAGAAAAAAATTTCTACGAGCCCTTCTATGATTGGATTATTAGAAGAAAGTTACTCTGTCAATGGTCAGTGATTTAATTGCTTTGTTTGTCTTCAACTGTTCAAGAAAATTGATTCTATTTAGAAGCACGTAGCTATGTTCACACACTAAGTTCGAATTATTTTAAAGTCTTTTTAAATCTTTGATAAATCTATGATGGAAGGAGGTTGTGATCTTCGACCCCAATTAGTCTTCTAACGATAAACGTACAACAATTAGGGCGAAGGTCTGCGGTAAATAACGTGAACACAGTTGGGACAAGAAGCAACGCTAAGTACTTAGTCAAAATTAGAAACAAATTAATTGCTTATGACCGCGAAAGTTTTTTCGATGTCTGCAATTCCAAATGGGACAATCATACATAAGTGATGAACTACGCACTTAACGCCAAAAATTCCAAAAAGCGTGTTTAAACTAAAATGCAAATCTGTCTCTGTTTTTCGTCCATATTTCAAATCAATCTTACATCACTTATTTGATTTACACCCAAATGTTCTTGTGGTCCGGATCAGCGAATACATGTATGTAAACAAAAACTCTTCAGTTGAGTATACTTTTCAAATAACCACTTGATTTTGTAGAGCAACTCCAATATTCAGGTATAACTTGGCGAACGTCATGTAGTCTTGGAAAAATCCTCCTTTCGCTTGGCATCTGATCTGATCTGATCGCTTGGCATCAGATACTCAACTGAACCCGGCATTAAGGCTAATCTCAGCCACATAATTACCTCAATCGTTCATTTTATAAAAGAATGTCTCTTTTCCAAGACGAAA